TAATTAATTAAATGTGGTTAATATTACTAAAATCTTATTGGCCCAATTGAGAAGTGGTAGTTTTATAATTGTCTACTTTGATGAAAAGTGGAGAGTTTTATGACACATAGAAGACTGCCTTTCTCTGCCTATAAATGTGAATGAAACCCATCAATTAATTTATTCAATAAAAGAGAGGAAAAGTGAGAGAACGGTTTCTTTAATTTAACAGTTTATTATTTTGCAGATCTAAAATTCTCAATTATTGCCATGGATCAAGGTATGTTTCTTGATCAATTAAATTCATGTGTGTAAATCATGAATTCTAAAGATCTTGGTATTAGGGTTTAATGTCTTACATGTGGTATCAGAGCCCAAGTTATAGAATTCTTGATTTTCCTTTAAAGATTAATATTTTTCATTTATCGATCATTAATTTTACGTATTGATCTATTAATAAATCTGTAAAATTAGAAAATATATTTCATTCTCGGATGCGATTTTTTTTTTTATTTTTTATTTTTTATTTTGATCGCTGTTGAAATAATGAATGCATCATTGATTTTGACTGCACCAAAATTAATTGATGAAAAGCGAAGTACCTTGTGTCATGTAAACTAATGGTTCTGAAGACTTTGGTATGGCCTCTGTCATATGTGTTGTATTATGATTGGTTAAAGGAAAGATTGATTTCTTGGTTTCAGAATCATAAACTATGTCCAGTCGTTGAATCTGTATATAATTTGGGGAATTTTTTTGGGGAATTTGTTAAGACTTTGACATGTGGATAAAAGGGTGTAATAATTAGCACTTGGTCAAACATCCCGTCTATGGTTTTAGATTTGTTAGGAAAATGGCAGAAGTATGCTTATATTTGTGTACGGTAATTGCTAAAAGACAAACGTTCGCGATTTCAAATGGCATCTATTGGATGCCTAATTTACCGTAGTAACTAGTGTAAGTTAATAGCCATATTCGCTATTAAAACTATATTGGCCAAATATACGTATAAATTAATGACTGCCTGTCATTAACTAATTTATCATCTGTTTCGTGGCAAATCAAATGCATGTAAATGTGTAAATAAACTGGATACTAACCAAAAGCATTAAGTGATAAATGTTTTATTTATGTAATTAATGTTTGATTAATATTGTTTGTTAGTCATCAAAGTGGCCAAACATTATGGTATTTCGAACACTAAATTACATAATTTATTTATCAATTACTCTTGATAGTTTGATGCTTGTAAATGAAAATGGCTTTATTATTGGTGTCAAGAGTATATTGACGTTCAAAGATTATAAAATTATTATGGATCGCCCAAAGGTTGATTAGTTAATTTTATTAATCTTGAATATGATCGTGGTTAATTGATTTACTTGGTCGGATGTGTTTTGTATATTCAAAGATATCATACATGTTTGATTAGAGTATGTTTAATTACGAATTAAGTGAAATTAAATTAGCATCATTATATTTATTAAGATGGTATAACGTAATATCACTCAAAGGAGAATTACGCTATACATTTATTGTTATATGAATCTGAAATTAAAACTCAAAGTATTAATGTTAGAGCATTTTATATTTTACAGTATCTGTTCCCATTTCTCTGCATTCGCATGCTTCATCTGTACCACTATTCAATGGGCTCAATTTCTCTGACTGGTGCGAACAAGTTCAGTTCAACTTAGGTGTTTTGGACTTGGACTTGGCATTTCAAGTTGAGAAACCTGCTGATCTTACTGATGAGAGCAGTGCTGATGAAAGATCTGTCCATAAAGTTTGGGAAAGGTCAAACAGATTAAGCTTAATGTTTATGCGGATGACCTTAGCAAAGAATATCAAGTCTACTATCCCTAAAACTGAGAATGCTAAGAAATATATGAAGTTTGTGGAAGAACGTTCCCAAATAGCTGACAAATCACTTGCTGGCACACTGGTGGAATTTGATGGTTCTCGTACCATGCATGAGCATATTACTGAAATGAGTAACATTGCAGCAAGACTTAAGACTATTGGGATGACTCTGGATGAGAACTTTCTGGTACAATTTATCATCAACTCTTTGCCTCCCGAGTACG